CTGTTACTGCAAAGAGCCACGTGATAAACATGGGCACGTGTGAACTGCCCCATCCCTTTAAAATAAATAAATAAATAAAACTTTTCACGCTATCAAAACTTCTTGTGTACATATTTCCATCTGTGCGAATGGGGGCGGGTCTTACGTAACTAATTTGTGTCAACGCCCATCGGCATGAGATTCACATAGTGGAAAAAAACACAAACATAAAATTCGACATGATCGTAAGAGCCTCATGTGGCTCCTGAGCTGCAGGTTGTGCTGTTCTGGTATAGAGGCTTATTTTCTGGCACTTGTTGAAGTCTAGTGTTGAAGCTTTTTTTTTTTTTTGCTGTTTTTGTCTATTTAAGACATGTTTTAGCCAAACAAGCTAGCCAACCTACTTTGAATAATCCTGTTGTTCTTTACTAATTTATTGGTCTTTGCTAAGTTTAGTAAAGTTTGACAGAATGTTGAGCACTGCTGACTATCTCTGACAGACTACACCTAGAAGTCTACTACCTCCATCATTTTTGCTTCTGATGCTGTTTGCGAATGGGAAAATGCCACAATAGATCTTTTGTATAAAATGTCTTTACGACAAAATAAACCGCAGATGGATCTGAAGGACGGTGCTGTTAGAAAAGACCTTCAGTGACAGCAGTGAAGAGAATTCATGTTGATGTGCGTCCTGATGTTGACAGGGCATCGACCTTGGAGAGTAAAAGTAGGTCGGAGTGAGAGAATGTGCCGAGTTTGTAGTGGAAAAGAAAATGGTGTTTAATAACAGCAGCAGCAGTAGAGTGTGGGCCTTAATGTTCTTAGTGGATTCATGGTGTTGCAGCTTCAGGTGTCAGGACAATAAGGTGGTTGTGCACAACACCTCCACCTTCTGTGACGGAGAAAAAAGCTGACGGTTCGATTCCCCTGCAGTGTTTTCTGTCAGCTGCTAACAGGTCTGAATATTCATGTCTTTACGCTCAAGCTTTCTTCAGACATCACAGGCTGAAGGTGATGGTCTTTGATCAGTGAAGACTGTCAACAGCGTTCAGAGATGATCTGGACCACGTCCAGGGGCTCCTCATCTTCGTCCTCATTAGATTTAAAAATAACTTCCACTTTGACCTGGTGTTCTTGAATCAGGAGAGATTTTTTTTTCTCCACTTCTCTGCGGAGGATGATGACGTGGAGCAGTGGGAGCTTCAGTTCAGTTCCGGGGATTGAGACCGTCCTGTCACCAGCTGCTATAAAGACCACCTTAAAGATAACTGATTTTTCTAACTACACCTTTGGGTCTGTTCTGTCCCTCTTCTTAACCTGCAGCGTTTTCTGAATCCACTCATGATATTGATGTTGAGGTGTTAATCTCCAGAGCTGCAGTGACATGACAGAGTTCCACTGTGATATTTGGAAGTGTTGCTGTGGTTTGTTGTGGCTGAAGCTCAGGGTTTTGTCTTCCACCAGGGTCACCGTGTGTCTGTTCTGCTGTACATTTAGTCTAAGATTCTTTTAGAGAAGAAACAGCTGTCTGTGGTGCCTGATATTCACTCACTCATCCAGAACAGATCAATGAAGAATGTACGAGTGCAAAAGAACACAGGTACCACATCGGTAGAACCTTCAGACTGAGGCCACACAGCTGCAATAGATGAAATAGAACATTAACATAGTAGACCGTCGCTGCTGCTGCTGCTGCTGCTGCTGCTGCTGCTGCTGCTGCTGCTGTTTTATACTCTAGTGTTTATATACTCTGAGCTGTGATTAGTCTGTGACTGTCTTCTCTGAGCTGCGATTGGTCTGCGATTGTCTTATCAAAGATGCCATTGGTCTGTGGATGTCCTCAAAGCTCTGATTGGTCCCTGACAGTCTGGACCTATGTCCTCTGCTGCTGAAGGTGAAGGACACTGGCGACAGTAACTGTGGTGATTGATGGCTGGAGTCCAATGTGGGAACGCTCTTTTATTTTTATTTTTATTTTTATTGGACCTGGGAGAAGCATTCAAGGCCTAATGAACTTTGACCTTGGGCTTGATCACCATGGCAACATGTGAGGTGAACAATCGAGCGCTGCGCCGCAAAAAACTCTCGTAAACCCCTGAATGTGGTTCAGTGAAAAGCTGGTGTTCCTGTAAAAGTTCTGACGTTTGTTTCACAGACACATCTGGGCGACACTAGAACTGTCTGTGGTGATTTAGAACTCTGATGAAGGAACAAGTTTAGACTTTAAGTGGTCTAACGTTGTCCACACCTGAGAGCAACTAACACCTGTAGGACAGGTGATGTAACATGATATATAGGATCAGGAATAGAGATCAGGATTAGAGATCAGGATCAGAGATCAGGATCAGAGATCAGGATCAGAGATCTGGATCAGAGATCAGGATCAGAGATCTGGATCAGAGGTGACCAGAATTGTAAAAATTGGTTCAAAGTTAGCCATCTGTTTGGCTGATAATGGAGAAGGAAATGGTCCCTGGAACATTTTAAAAGCCGTCCTCCTTGCTGGTCTTACAGAGACCGTCCTTAGAACCTTGATCCGACTGGTGTTTCATGTTTTTAGAGCTGGTGGAAGACATGATGGGTTTTAATGAACAGGAAGATCCAGCCTTCAGGGGACGAACTCTGCAGCGTTCTGAAGATGGGGTTAATCAGAGAAACTCTGTGATGGTCGGACAGCAGTTCTTCTCTCTGATTAACACATCAGTTATTATATTTTAATAACAAGCAGCTGACAACACACAGCAGTGGACATTAACGTCTGACCTCAGTCACTGACACAGCAGCAGCCTTCCATTAACCTCTGTGTTTAAACCACTGACAAACGACGCATCAACACAATCACTTTAGCAAACGCTAATTAGTCTAATGCAGTGGTTCTCAATTATTTTCTGTCACGCCCCCCCCCGCCCCGCCAGAAATGTTTTCACGCCCCCCTGCGATCCAAACCCCTGCCAACTGAAATACTATTGAGAACCTGATAACATGTATATTTCTATCTGTACAAACCACTGTATGAGTTGCTGCCACCTAGTGACTGGAGGATTGTTATCATTCAAGCATTACAGCAGCGGTACACTAATGTCCAGCAGGCTATATTCAATTGGAAGCCCCTTTTGCCCCCCAGGGTGGACCACCCCACTATTTGAGAACTACTGGTCTAATGGCTATTTTAAGCAACTACGACATTGTGTAGTCCAGGCAAATGTACTGTACACATGTTGTTATTGACAGACTGCCGTTATCTGTCGTTCTGTTCCATCAATAGATGGAAGCGATTGTGATTAATCACGATTGAGATTTAGCTACATTATAGTCACACCTCACCACAGACTAGTCTCCTGTAGGACAATATTCTTAGTGGTCAATAAGGTAAAAAAAAAAATCAGAACAAAAACCATGATGTATAAAATATCCAAAGGTCATCGAGGTCAAATATGACAATGAACAGCACATATGGTATAGAGAGGGTTTGTCAGATGAGAATCAGCAGTGGTGGTGAAGCTGTACTCTGAGTAGTAAATGAACTTTTATTTTGAAATTCAAGGCTGCTCTCCTGTCTCCTCTGTGACTTTTTCCACTTTTTTTAAAGAAGCTCAATAAAGACTTTTATTTTGATGGGACTCTTCACCCTAAGCCTGGTGGTTGGGGACCTATGATTTATAACACACACACTCAAATAAAAAAAAAAATGTCACAATTTCATGAACTTTGTTCATCAAAAAAAAACCTCTCCTTTACATGTTGAAGAATAAAAAAGGAAATAATAAAACTAAGCTCTGATCATGATGTAAATTGTTGTTTGGCCTCATCTCACTGCGAACTAATCTGGGTAGTTTATAGATCAAGAGGAGCAGGAGGAGGAGGAGGAGGAAGAGGCTCAGCTTCTCTCCTCTGCTCCGTCTGGATATTTTTTGGACATCTGAAGGTCGTCATGAGAAATAAATGAAGTTTGGATTTTCAGACAGAAACCTGATGATGCAGTCCAGATCCACCTGAGCTCTCCGCTCAATAAAGTCAGATTCTTTTTTATCCTCCTCTCCTTCCTCCTTCACACAAACAAGCTCAAACATCAGACTTTGCTCTTTGAGTTTAAGGTGTGGACAAATGAAGGCCGTCTCGTTTCTGGTTCTGTCCTCGTGCTGCATCTCTGTCTCTGCTCTTGGACTGAAAGGGTGTCCCCTCAGAATGCAGTGGTTTAAGTTCCTTTGTGGTCCAGCCTCTTCTTCATCTTCCTCTTCTTCGTCGTCTTCATCTTCTACCAATGCTAAATAATGCCAGAGACGCTGGTGAGGATCAGGGCCTTCAGGGGCCGACGGCATCTTCAGTGTCTTCATTGTGTCTCATAATGACTTCCCTATTGAGAAGGACCTTTGTGACCTCAGACACAGACAGTGTGACAGCGTGGTCCACCGCAGCCTGCAGCCCGACACACACACACACACACACACACACACGCAGCAGCCTCTAACCAGCAGCAGACACAAGAAGTAACAAGGTTTTGGTGCCATCTGTGGTCAGGAGGTCAGCAAATTGTCCACATGACCACAGAGACTTTAACGTCAGAGGTCTGATGGTGACACCAGGCTCCAGGGAGCAAATGTGTGCTTTTCTTGATCTTTCTTTTTTTTATTTAATGTTCATTAACGTTAGCCTGTTAGATTTGGTTTTCAGCTGCAAAAAACTTGCTGTCTGTGTGACTAATGTTTGACATTTAATAGTTTTAATAACGCACTCTCCCACACCAGAGTCCAGAAAATCAGTGATTTTAGCTTACAGACCAAACATCAGTCTAAGAATGACACAGTTCCAAAAAGATGCATCTTAAATTGTATTATTATATTATTGCAGGGTAGTACATGTATTTGTGGGTCTGTGTTAACATACAGCTGTGTTTTTTTACACCTCCCCTAACTCTGAAAACCTTAGCTAACCCTTTAAACCAACATTTTCCCATCACCACCCTGCAGTGTTTGTTCTCAAACAGTTTTTCATTTTTTACCCCTCCTCGTCTCTGATCACAGGGTTCCTGAAGCCCCAGTGCTCGCTGGCTCCGCCCATGGATCGAGGTCGTTCAGGTGAAGCCTGCTCCTGCTTCAGTGGCATGTGTCCTCTGCACCAGCGTCGTCTGTCCTCAGGTAACACCGCCAACACCGAGTGTTTGTTCACACGTTCAGTATGTGTGTCTTCGGCGTGAGAGGCAGCTCAACATCAGACCCAGCATCTTCTGGTGCGGGGTCTGATGGTGGAGTTACGGAGTGGAGGAGGTCGACAGTTCTCACCACCGTCACTGGTTGTTTTTATTGAATCTTTATCTTATTTAAACCTGTATCAGCTTCAACTCCTCTCTTTGATTCAGAGATAAAAGGTGAAAGATGTTTTTTTTTCTTCTGCCACTGGAACATTTGAACACAAACGCATACAGTACATGTGACTCAGATGTGACTCAGAAGTGCAGCATGTGTGCTTGTTAAACACACACACACACACATTTGTGTTTGAGAGGGAAGTGGCGATGTTTGACTAATGTGTGAGGAGAGACTTAATTAGTTTGAAGGATCATGTGATTTTCCTGCAGCTGTTATCGTCTTCACCTTGTCCTCAGTCAAATCTGTTTGTGTGTTTACAAAACTGCACTCATTATTCAAATTAAAAAAGAAATTCCTCTGATGTTTTTATCCTGCTAATGGCTCAGCTGATCTGGACGCAGATTTCGGTTGGTCATAAACACGCGGTCCTCCTTCATGCTGGCTGTGGATCAGAATGTAGAGCTGCTCCTCTTTCAACCAGACGGTTGGTGGTTTAATCCTTGGCCCAAATACATGCTGATGTGTCCCTGGACAAAGACACTTGAATCAAACGACTGTGGTCCCTGGACAGCAGCGATGTCAGAATTTAGGAATCAAATTTAGATGAAGATTTAATGCTGATTTTTAAATGGACAAAAATCCATATTGTCCAAAGTTAGGATTGAAAACAGAACTGAAAATAAAGGATTCCTGGTTCTGACTCTACTGGTGTAAACATGTCTCATCCTGTCCCATACACCAGAGTCCTGAGCAGGGGAAGAAAAGAGGGACGTTGAGGACGTTCGTAACGGAAATTCCGTCTGGGAGTTTTAATAACAGCTTGTCACTGATGAGATTCTCAGAGTTTCTCTGATTCCTCTCTGTCTGAGTTGTTTTTTTTAGTTGTTTTTCTGAGCCATCGCCTCTGGTCACAGGTGTGTCTGCCTCCTGCCTTTTCTCTTTTTTTTACGTGATTGATGTTGTCTTTGCATGTGGAGCCACACTGACAGACAGGTTAACTGCTCCTTGGCTCCGCCCCCTCAGCCTTACAGACAAGCAGGTTGTGACTTCACTGCAAGTTCTGAGCTGAAGTCTGTGGAATGTTTTAATGAGTCACCTGTGTGACTTACAGGAACCTGTGGTTAAAGCTGAGGTTTTTTATTCAGTGTCAGGGTTTGGTATACAGGGCCAGAAGAAGGAGAGGAAAAGGAAGAAGAGGGGAAAAGGAGGAGAAGGAGGAGGAGGAGGAGGAAGAGGAGATGACATGGGATTTATCTGTTTTATAGTGGAGCCCATTGACAGTCAAACAAATCAGTTCCTCTGCTCTGTTAAACAGTTCCACAGTACAGTACCAAGGCCCCTGGTTTCTGTCCTCTTGGAACCATATGGTCCTAACAGTACCAAGACCAGTACCATGTTGGTGGCTTCAGCGCTTAAAAGTCTTCAGGGTTCATGGGCCAAAATCATTGGTTCTAAAAAAAAAAAAAAACTAATATTTGATTTTACTTCTGTTCTGATTCTGATTGTTTAATGTGGTCATTCAAAATTATAATTAAATATTATAGTATTATTTATATTGTTAGCATTAGAATTCTTTTTGAGAATATTTCATCAAGGACTGCAGTTATCTTTTTTCAATAAGGTTTTTTTTATACCTTTTTGTCGAGTTTTTGTTCTGACAGTTGAGTCGTGTTTAGAAACAACGTCACGATAATGACGAAGAGCTAAATCTGTCCTTTTTATACATTTTCATTTCTTATAAGACATAGTTCCACCTCTGGCCTTGTCTTCATTCCTGTGGAGTCTGGAGCTGGTCCTCAGTGGTAGTCAAGCCTGCTCAGATACTGTATCTCCTTCACTCCTGTCTCTTTCATTGGCAAATATTTTTTCCTGAACATGTTTGAGCCTGACAATTGGCCGAGCTGCAGGGTTGTATTTTTTTTTTTTTTCGCCCAGCAGCCTCTCCCTCACTAATCATGACAGAAGACTACATCTTTTATTTATTTTTAACCGTCACACCCTGCAGAAGGAGTGGGTTTATTTCACTCACAGAGTCCCCATCACAAATGTATGGACTGGTTCTGCTTTTTCAGGTTAAAAAACCAACATCAGTTATTTGACTGTGGGGTCACCAACAGTCATCAAGCATAAAAACTAAAGAGAAAGTATTTATGTTCAGTCCAAGTCCTTTATTCATTCACGCCAATCACTGTGCGTGGTCCAGTGCAGAAAAGTCCATCAAGTTGAGTGTTTTTAACTCAGATTATTGCCTCTGATCAGGCTGAGATCTGTAGAACCAGGACCAGGCCTGAGTCCTGGACTTTCTAAAACCCTGTAATAATAATCATGGCTCTAATTATGGAACGTGTTTCTATAAATCCGGCAAATTCTCCTGCAATTCCAGCGTTCTAGCTCCGCTCCACCGCCGCGGCCACAATGACAAGCTGCTGTGGTTAGCAGGCAGAGGATTCTGGGAAAGTTCAGTGTCCAGGGCTGCCGCTCTCATGTGGACCCGTGTGGACTGATGTGGTCCGGCTCCGGTTTCAGTGGTTTCTCATTGTTTATAATTTTTTTCAAAAACAACTTTTTTACTGGAAGGGGAGTGTGAGAAAGTTTATTTACTACTAAAACTGGACTCGAGAAGAAAATAAGAAGATTCTCAATGAGACGACAGACAAAAGAAGATTAATGAGACAAAAAGATTGGATTCAGTGTGTGAGGAGGTGGAGCAGAGAAGGAGACGGGAAGGAGCCGAGTGTGAAAACGTTTTTTTTTTTTCTTCTGTTGAATGGTGACTTTTCAAAAGTCAAAGTAATTATTGATTGTTTTTATTTAAACCCTGTCATGGGAGGAGTTCAGCTCTTCTCTTTATGTATGAGGTGAGTGAGGAGACAGTGTGGAGGAACAGAGCTTTTTCCTCCTCCTGCTCCTGCTCCTCCTCCTCCTCCTCCTCCTCCTGACAATGGCGGCCTTGTGCAGTGATTGGGTCTGTCCTCAGTGAAACCAGCACAGGAATGGAAAAGATTATCCACAGGAATGTCTGGGGTGCCCTCAAACCGAGCGGGCCCTGTCACCGACCAATCAGAGAGCAGGGGGGCCCGCTGAACCAGCCAGAGAGAGAGAGAGAGAGAGAGACAGAAGGGGTGAGAGAGAGAGAGAGAGAGAGAGAGGCTAATTTTTTCCTGATGAACTCAGCCGCTGCCTTCTCCCATAATGCACTCTGACTGCCAGAAACACACATATGTTCCATGTTTAGAGGGTCCGAATGACAGAACCAATTCTGATCCTGGTTCTGAGGAGGGGGGAGGGGCTCCTCTCATCATTATTACTCCCCCCCGGCTCGGCGCCCTGTCATTTCCATGTTCTTCTCTTTGGCAGTAGAGTTAAATTCACTCTGTCACATCTGAACCTGCTCAGCTCTGAACAGCTGACCCTTTATATTCATACCACACATGTATATATATTTACTGTATGTGTAGGTGTGTGTATATATGTTTGATTGACTTCAGATCCTGGACTCCAGTCTCGCCTGTTTCCCAGGCCGATGTCCTGCAAAGGTCATCAGGTCACAAATGCGCAGCTCGTTAGTCTCGGCTGCTCGCCATCTTTCCTGAACTCTGATTGGCTGGACTATCCTGATGAAGAAGCTTTTTTGTAAATTAACAACTGGTGTTCAGTTTACATCAGGTCAGAGAAGTGGAGTTTGGCAAAGACTGGGAAAACTGGATAGTGTGCACTGCTCCTTTAATTGATATAAATGTGACCGAACCCACAGTGAGAAACTTTGAAGAGTTAGTCTGAACACACACACATTCACCTGTAGGTACACACACATGCTGATACACACTCACACACAGAGGTTCATTGTTCGACACAAACTCTATAATTAAAAACAGAAAAACTCATTTTTTCAATATAATATGGAGACATTTCTGACAAAAAATACAGTTCATTCAAAGTTAACCTTCACATTTAAAGTTACTAAATCACATGACCAATGTATTACAATCATGAACCTGCCTGAATATATTGAAATAGTCCAGACGGTTGATAAGTGGTTCATACCTCCCACCACCATGAGAAGAACTTAATGGTCGTCACAGGGTGAGAGACTGTTATCACACTGGTAATTAGGTGTATTTAGCTTCAGTCCTGCTCTGCTCACAGGTTTTCACAAAATCAGCAAAGATTAACAAAATGAATAATTTAACAATAATAAATGGTTAATAATGCTGATGCTGTTTTTGCTGCTGCTCTCAACAGGAGAGAGTCCATTAGTCTAGAACCCAACGACCAGTCACTGTGTTTAAGTGTTTAAATCACACTTAAATGGAAACTGAAACTGAAATCTGTGTTTAAGTTAAAACACACTTAAATGGAAACTGAAACTGAAAATTGTTTTACAAAAAACTTTTACTTTTTTCCAGGACCTCTTGAATTTACTAATTTACTATTTAATTTATGTTTCATTTTATATTCTTTTTCTTCTTATTATTGTCTTTTGGTCAATTTTACCTGTTTTTGCAGCTGGTCGTTTTTAAACCACATTTTCTATTTGAGTTTTACTGTAAGTTATGTCTGGACTGCCAATCAAGTGTCCTTTTCCAACAATTAAAAAAATACATAAAGCTGTAAAAACACTTAAAAGTAGTGAGAAAATTGCTAAAGGTTAGCCATATATAGCCAACTGAGGAAACGCGTTTGTTCAGTCAACTCTTAGTCAAACCTCAGAGTCAAAGACTCAACGCTGGGATTGGTTTTTTTCTTCACTCAGACCCTGGTTCTGCTGCCAGGAGGTTTGGACCAGGACTGTTTTCTCTCCTTTATTTTTCATATTCCTCTTTGTTTTA